GAGATACCCAGAAAAGCAGCTTTACTATCACCTGGAAACTTAGAAATGAAAATAAGTGAGCCCCATCCCAAATCTACTGAATCATAAATGGGGTGGTGGAAGCAACTGGTAAACACAATAGGCCCTCCAAGGGGTTTTGTGGCTCAAAACCAGGGGTCTACAAACAAGGGCTTGCAGGCCAAATCCAGCTTGTTGCCTGTTTGGTAAATAAAGTTTTATTGGAAAACAGCCACAATCATTCATTTACATATCATCTAAGGCTGTCTTCATTCTCCCATGACTAAGTTGAGTAGTTGCCACAGAGATTCTATCTAAGGTCTAAAATACTTACTATATAACCATTTACAGAATAAGTTTGCTGAACTCTGTTCTGATTTGGAACAATGTCTTGAAAAAACAAAACAAAACAAAACTCCAAACACCAAAACTGTTGGTTTTACCCATCAATGTGTAAAGCTCATAGTTTCCATTTTATCATGGTCTCTATCAAAAGGACTGAATCCCGCCAATGTCTGTACCTCTGTCCTTGAAAACCTTTGCCAATGGCACTGGGTGACTTTCCTCTCCCACACCTATGTTATAGGACCAGTTTTTAGCAGGAGTAGATTCAGTGAACAAACATTTCTAGATTTATGAGTGAAGTGCTCAACAGATATGGAGATCAAAACCAACTCCACAAGAATGTTTTGAGATGCCCATTTCCAAACTCATATCCTGAAACAGAGTGGGCCTTCTGGAAATAAATACCTTCAGTAAACTGACTACCTATCTGCAGAAAAGGATGGAGAACTTTCTCTGCAAGTAATGTAAGAAAAGCTGCAAGATCTTCCCAAAAATTTTTTTAGGAGATCAGTATGAAAAGCAGTCATGTACATAATTAATATACGGTAACATGATATACACTCTAATATATAATAAATGTAATAAATACAATATAATAAAATATAATGAATATAATGTTAGAGGCCCAGTGCACAAAATTTGTGCACTGGGTGGGGGTCCCTCAGCCTGGTCTGCGCCCTTTGGCACTCTGGCAGCCCTCAGGGGATGTTGGACTGACAGCTTAGGCCCGCTCCCCCTGGGGAGCGGGCTTAAGCCAGCAGTTGGGACATTCTTAGTGCTGCCACAGAGGTGGGAGAGGCTCCAGCCACTGCCACTGCACTTGCCAGCCATGAGCCCAACTTCTGGCGGCTGAACAGCGCTCCCCCTGTGGGAGTGCACTGACCACCAAGGGGCAGCTCCTGTGTTGAGCACCTGCCACCCTGGTGTTCAGTGTGCATCATAGTGACTGGTCATTCTGCCGTTTGGTCGATTTGGATATTAGCCTTTTATTATATAGGACTAGAGGCCCAGTGCCCAAAATTTGTGCTCAGTGTGTGTGTGTGTGTGTGTGTGTGTGTGTGTGTGTGTCCCTCAGCCCAGCCTGCACTGTCTCCAAGTCTCCAATCTGGGACCCCTTGAGGGATGCCTGACTTCCCATTTAGGCCTGATCCCACCTAAATGGGCAGTCGGATATCCGTCTCACAATCCAGGACTACTGGCTCCCAACTGCTCACCTGCCTGATTGCTCCTAACAGCTTCTGCCTGCCAGCCTGATCACCCCTAATTGCCCTTCCTTGCAGGCCTGATTGCCCCCAACTGCCTTCCCTTGCAGGCCTGGTCCCTCTCAACTTCCCCCTCCCCTGCTGGCCTGGTCGCTCACAACTGCCCTCCCCTGCTGGTCATCTTGTGTCCACATGGGGGTGGTCATTTTTGACCACATGGGGGCGGCCATCTTGTGTGTTGGAATGATGGTCAATTTGCATATTATCCTTTTACTAAATAGGATAATATAACAAATATAAAGAATCCTTTAATGTCATGTTCTATTAACAGGTCTATCTTGTGAATGAATGATAGGTAAATCAGATTTCAAGTCTATCCGCTGCTCTGAAACCAAACTGTTATATCAATGACTACCTACACTCAAGTAAAATAAATCCAAAGCATAAGAAGTTTATCAGGAGGGAGGGAGGGGGTCAAAAAAAAAAATCAATAAAATACGTAAAAATAAATAAATAAATAAATAAATAAATGGTAAAAAAAAGAAGAAAAAAAAAGAAGTTTCTCAGAGAAACCATCTCTATTCTAAAGCATAATCCAAGGACAGAAATACAGGACATATTGAAAATGCAAGCCATCTTCAATCAACAATTTAGTGGTAATTCTAACAGTCAAGTCTAGCACTTTCATAAGATAAGCTGAAAACAGAGGCTTAAAATCTCATAGGGTCTGTTCCTTTTGTGAAGCAATTCTTGTCCTCTGAAATAAAGTGCCCTAAGTTACTAAATATCCTTAATGTTAGAACATTTAATATCTTATTTGCTATTTTATTAGTTATAAACTCTTCAAGCTAATCGAATTTAGTCTCTTTAGCTCCCTCACAGCCCCAGTACTTTACTCTTCTTTGTTTTTATCTAAATAAATCTATGGGTTAGAAGAACTGGGGAAGAAAGAAAATGATGGTATAAACATATATAAAACTGTGATGAATGATCTTCTGTTCCCTCTCCAGGAGACACGAGCTAACTCCCTTCTTGGGAGTTCTGAGTCCTCCCTAAGATAGATATTCTGACAGATTCAAAAAAACATATTTTCCATATACTTCATAGTTCAGTGAAACTCAAGTAGTATAATCCTCAGTGAGAAAAAAAAAAAATCCACACAAGAATGGTAATACTCTGAATTTTCAAAGGAATGTGAGTTGCTGGAAGCTAATCAAAAGAATGAGGACTTATAAATGAAGCAGTTTCTAAAAGTGAACATTAGCAAAACTGTCTCTTTCTTTAAAACTTCAATGCCCTACAAGCACCACCTTGTTGTTTTTTTTTAAATCAACCCACCATTTCAAGTATGGAAGCATTAAAAATTACAAGAGACCAACTGTCTGGATATGTCAGGCTATGGATTATAAGATTATGTTCAGATATGAGGAATAAGGCTACATACGACACCTCCACTCTCTAGTATCTGATTCAGTTGATATTCTCAAGTACTTTGAATGATGTTGGCTTTAGAAGTTTAAGGAGCTTTTAAAAATTTAAACATTAAAAAATATCAAAGACACACATTTATATCTAAAATTGTGAGAATGCAAACTGGCTTAAATGGATTCTCTATTCCTTAGATTTTCTAGAAAAGAACATTTTTACCAGACAAAGGGCAGTGTAGTGATCAAAATGAGATGCTACATTACATATTTTCCAGATGAAAAGTGTGTAATGATATTTCTCTAGAAAAATGACTTAATGAACTACTTAAAAATGTCTGCACTTAGAATTTCTCAATTATAATGAATTAATACTATATAATAAAAGCCTAATATGCTAAATATCTGATATTCTAGTTGGCCGTTCAACCAATCAAAGCGTAATATGCTATGATATGTTAAGGTTGCTCAACTGCTCACTATGACATGCACTGACCATCAGGGGGCAAACGCTCCAACCGGTAAGTTAGCTTGCTGCTGGGGTCCGGCTGATTGGGACTAAGCAAAATGGGACAGACACTCTCTGGAGCCCTCCCAAGATCATTCCCTAGCTGGCCAACCTCCCACATCCCTCCTTGGCCCCAATCGTGTACCCATGGGGTCCCTTGGAGAGCTGGTTTCGGCCCTATCCCACAGGCCTAGCCCAGGGACTCCACTGGTGCACAAATTTGTACACTGGGCCTCTAATAATAATATACAGAGTACACTAAAACAGATAAAGGTAATCAAGTGGTCAATGATACTGCAATAGAAAAAATGTTTGGCCGAAACCGGTTTAGCTCAGTGGTAGAGCGTCGGTCTGTGGATTGAAAGGTCCCAGGTTCGATTTTGGTCAAGGGCACGTACCTGAGTTGCGGGCACATCCCCAGTAGGGGGTGTGCAAGAGGCAGCTGGTCAATGTTTCTCTCTCATCAACGTTTCTAGCTCTCTATATCTCTCCCTTCCTCTCTGTAAAATATCAATAAAAAATATATTAAAAAAAAAGAAAATAGTAGTTGAAAAGGTAAGTAATAATAGAGAGCACAATGACAATTATTTTATTTATAAGAAAAACTTTGGTAAACATTGCCTTAGCCATATTTTAATTTTGCACAAACTAATGAACACTACATTTTTATAAAAAGAGCAAAAGCTGATAGAAGACATTTCTTCAAAAAACCAAATATCAGGGAAGCTCATAGCATCAATACCGATTCAGCCCAATAGAACACGTGGGACATGATAACTGAGTCTAATGATAATCTTGAATCATATAGAAACATTTAACTCTTTATAGCCTGTCTTTTCTGTGAAGCCATCCTTTCTCTGTAATGGGGGCCATACTGATACACAAGTATAAAATACTCAGATAGCTCCCTCACACATATATTCAAAAACAGTTTCTGTCATATTATAGACAGTGAGTAGGGGCTCAATATTTCACTAGAGCATAGCTCCATGACAGCAAGGTTTTTAAGTTCATTTTATATTTTTATTTACACTGTTTTGAGTACAAACTATCAAACCAGAAGACCAACAACTTAAGTTGTGACCATTTCATACAAGAACTTCAAAGTGATTTGTTCCTTGAAAATTTTGATAGGTCAGGAAGGATTAACATGTACTTATTGGGCCAAGTTTATGAAAACAGAGTACACTTAGAAAAAGATTAATAAAAATGCTAGCTTCTAGGTATCTGAGAATTAGACCCTTTTGGGAAGTTACTAAACTAAGATCATATAATAGGAAGGGTAACTACTACACTAGAGACTTTGTGGGGAAACATTCAAATGAAAGAAAGAATGTCAAGACTGGTTCGGCATCACTTTACAGCAAAGCCAAGGCTGTGGCTTCAGAACATTTCTTCCCTGAGAGCAGAATTCCCCAGGAACCACCCGAGCCACGGTGGTGTTTGTAAACTGTATTCCTACATTATTACTGTTATTTTTACCAATAGAAGGAAGACATTAGCACTTGGAAAATCTTGAATTACCTGGTGCCGGGCTCGACTCTGGTCCAGAAGCTGCCGGGACTGAAGTTTTTGTTGTTCAAGTTGCTGCAGGGCAAAATGGAGTTGGTAACTGCCAGCTGTGGGGTGATACTTGTGCTGGGGGACTACCCCGGTAGCCTTGCTATACGCGTTGTTTTCTACCTCTCCCTCCCAGGCAAAGCCACCTGCCTGGAGGCCCCTAAAGGGAAAAGAAAGCAGATTTCTTAGGGTGGTTGGGTGAACAAACTTAAGGGAAGAAATATCCCAGGTATTTTTCCTTTATAGAACTAAACACAGTTTGAAATACAAATCTATTTGTGTGATAAATGATCTGAATCACCCACTAAAATGTAGCTCCATGAAAATAAAGACAGGTCTTACTCTGCTCTCCTTTCTATTCATTGTTTATTAAAAATAATTTTTTCACTGATTTCAGAGAGGAAGGGAGGGAGGGAGAGAGGGAGGAACATCAATGATGAGAGAGAATCTTTGATCAGCTGCCTCCTGCACGCCCCACACAGGAGATCAAGCCTGCAACCTGGGCAATGTGCCCTGACTGGAAATTGAACCGTGACTTCCTGGTTCATAGGTCATCGTCCAACCAATGAACCATGCTGGCTGGGCTATTTGTAGCTCTTATAAGGCTTTGGCACATGGCCAATGCTCAATAAACATCTGTTGAATGTTAATTAATTAAAATAGTAATTTCATCTCCTTGTGACTGCCACAAGGTCCTCTAAGAGGAGCCCAGAGAGTCTCGAACGCAGGATAGTAAGTTAAAGTAGGAATGGAGGCACAATCATCTTTTCTAATATCAACTTTAAAAGTATAGGGGTGAATTATACAGAATTCTTGTGTTTTTTTTTAAACCATCCAATTGTGACCTATCTAAATCTTTTAAACAAGTGTTCACATATATTTGTCATTATTCTAAACTTACTTCACAGCGTCTTCCTCATCCAAGTTGACACGTAGCCTGAAAAGAGGAGAAAGGTAAAGGGCCTGTGGCCTTTTAGACTGTTTAGTACCCATGCTATGCATTTGTTAAACACTATCTCCCTTGTCCAAATTCTAAAATTTAGATTCTGGTGCCTCATCTGTGTACAACTGAGTCAAAGTCTTCACAACTATAGGTTCTTACATATCTCTAATCTCTTCCAGGTAGAAAATCCCCATTTATACCATATAATACCCATGAGGATGATTATTATTTAAAACAAAACAAATGGAAAATAAAAAGGGCTGGCAAGCATGTGGAGAAAGTGGAACTCTCATGTATAGCTGGTGGGAATGTAAAACGGTATGACTGCTGTGGCAGCACTCTGGTGGCTCCTCAAGAAGCTTAAAACAAAAATTCCATATGACCCAGCAAGTCCATTCCCAAGCATATATCCAAAAGAATTGAAAGTAGGGACTCAGATACTTGTACAGAGCAGCATTATTCATAATAACCAAAAGGTGAAAACAACCCAGCTGCCCATTAGCAGATGAATGGATACACAAAATGTGATACACACACACACACACACACACACACACACACACACACACAATGGAATATTATTCAGCCTTAAAAGGGAAGGAATTTCTGACACATGCTACGACAAGGATGAACTGAAGACATGTTAAGTGAAATAAACCAGTTACATAAGGGATTTCACTTATACGAAGTACTTAAAATAATAAAATTGAGAAAAGAAAGTAAAATGGTGGGTGTCTGGGGCTGGAGAGACAAGGGAATGAGGACTTATTGTTTAATGAATACTGGGTTTTAGTTTGGGGTGATGAGAAAGTTCTGGAGAGAGATGGTAGTCATGGTTATACAACACTGTGAATATACCATATGCCACTGAACTATACACTTAAAAATTGTAAATTTTAGGTGATCCAAGATGGCAATGGAATAGGTGAATGTCACACTCACCTCCTCCCAGAACCAAACTGGAATTATAACTAAAATATAAAGCAAAAAACCTGAATAACCAAATGAAGACTAGCTGAAGGATTTAAAGAAGAAGCCACATTACGTCTGGTAGGAAAGGCAGAGACATGAAAAGGGCTGGCCCTACTCCCATGGGTGGCAAATGAAATTTCAAAGGGATATCTCAGCTGCAAAGGTTACCCCTGAGAAGCATGGGTATCAGCCCAGAGCACTAGAGGCACACAAAATCTCGTTCTGCATGCACCCAGGTCATGCAGAGGCAGGCAGAAACTGTATTGCTTTGTAGCTCCAAACAGGTTGCCAAAAACCAATCACAAGCAGTGTCTGATATTGGCCTGCACCAGAGTCCCTTCCAAGAGGCCTCAGAACAAATACACCCAGTGGCCAGCTTCAGACATCTCTCACTATAATGATATGAAACTAGAAATTAATCATAAGAAAAAAAAAATCAAAACACACACACCCACACACACATGGAGGCTAAATAACAGGTTACTAAACAATGAATAGGTTAACAATGAGATCAAGGAAGAAACCAAAAGATAGCTTGAAAAAAATGAAAATGAGAACTTGACAACCCCAAGTCTATGGGACATAGCGAAAACAGTCTTAGGAGGGAAATCCAGAGCATTACAGGCCTATCTCAAGAAACAAGAAAAATCTCAAACAATCTAACTTTACACTTAAAGGAACTTAAAAGAACAACAAACAAAGCCTAAAAGAAGAAAGCCTAATAGAAGAAAACAATAAAGATTAGCATGGATGGATCTGGAGAGAATTATGCTTAGTGAAATAAGCCAGTTGGAGAAAGTTAAGTACCATATAATTTCACTTGTATGTGGAATCTAATGAACAAAATAAACTAACAAACAAAATAGAAACAGATTCTCAGATACAGAGGACAGATTGACAGCTGTCAGAGGGGAGGGGAGTTGGGGGACTGGTGAAAAGGTGAAGGGATTCAACAAACAGAAAAACTCATAACACAGACAGCAGTATGGTGACTGCCAGAAGGAAAGGGGGTGAGGGAAATAGAAAAGGGTAACGGGGGATAAATGGTCTTGGAGGAAAACCTGACTTGGGGTAGTGAACACACAATATACAGATGATGTATTACAGAATGTACACCTGAAACCTATATACTTTTATTAGTCAAGGTCACCCCAATAAATTCAATATTTTTTTAAAGAGTGGTAAATTTTATGTTATGCATATTTTACCACCATTTTTTTTTAAAAAAGGTCCCCATATATTTTAGAAGTCTCATTTAGCAATCCTTCCATCTCCTTAATACTTTTAGTTATTCTCTGAAACTTCTTTAACTATCCTAAATTTTTTCCTTTTTAAGGTACAATGACCAAAATATTGTACCTAGAAGAAACTTTAAAAATCTCATATTCGATATTTTTAAATCCTACCCCAAATCCTGCTTACAGAAATGAAATAGTGCCTAATTTAAAGGTTCAACACACAAACAATCTCATTCTACATGCATAGTGATTTAAATCCTCATGTGATTCTTTCCTTTATGAATGTACTTCGGTATTAATGGTCATCTCAATGGCAGAGATGCAGCAACACTGAGGTGAGGTTGCAGACCTCCCTGGTCCTAACCTATAGGCTGCCTAGTTATGTATAGCTTATGTCCTAATGACCCTGACAGAGACCTGTGGGGAGAAGCAGAGTGGGTGCCAGCTGAGCCAGAAGTCCCTGCCCCTTTCTTGACCTCCCGCACTCATATTGGTCTCTGCTTGGATTCCCTGCTTTCAAAGAGCTTTCCAAGTACCTGGTTCAGAGAAAGTCTGTGTACTGTATTCCAAAGTCTGTGGATGAAAGGCTTTCTACTCACATAATCTCACTTCCTATGTGTCACATCCCTTGATCATCTCCTCCCACGGTTTGGCTCCACAGTTCAGTTGCACGATTACACACTTTCAGCTAATCTTGAAGAACAGTACCAAAAACCTCAGAGCTTATTTAGTAATTTTTTGAGTATGACATTTGATCCTTAGTAATCCCTTCTGAAATGCCTCAATGTGCGAATTGTTATACAGTGAAAAAGACATGATCTTTCCCCAAGGGGCTTCCGGAGGTATGACGAAACGTGGCCAGCAATGACTGAATACAAATACGACTTAAATACATGAATAAAACTTTAACATTATTTGCAAGGTGAAGTGCTGAGCAAGAGTCAAACAGGAGTTATAGGGTTAGGAAAAGTGGGGCCAGAGAAACCTGTTAACTCTTTCATTAGGAGGGAAGGGGGAAGCTTACTGAAGGATAACACTTGCAAGAAATGACTGAATGGCTAGGGAAACTAGGTGAGCTCTGAGGGGAAGGAGGAGCAAAGGAGAAAGGAATCCAGATATAAATGAAGAGAAGGTTCAGGCAGAATGGACTGAGCCAATCCTCCTAATATATAAGAACCCTGGGTCCATCGCATTCGAAATGATCAGGAGGCTCGACCATTTGCCAGGCTGCATGAGCAGCAGGCAAGTGGGTTGAACTGCTGACTTCCCGGAGAAAGAGAGAGGCGGGGCTAATCAGCAGTGACAGAGGCCTGGATAGAGAAGCAGGGTGATCAGACCCTGCTTCTCTCTCCCTCACCAGCAGCCAAGCCTCTTTCTCTCTCTCCCAGAGGTCAGCAGTTCAGCCGCATACCAGGAGCCTGGAGCAGCTGCTGATCAGCCATGCCTCTATGATTAGGCCCGGAGATGCTGACTGGCATAGAAACCGACCAATCAGAACCAAATCTGGGTGAATTGCAAGAAGCCAATGGCTGCCTAGGAGGCTGGGCTTTTGACTCTAATGGGCATAGAAACTGACCAAGCAGAACCAAATTGGCCAGCAGAGGAGGGCAGTTGGGGGAAACTGGGCTTGCAGGGGAGGGCAGTTGGGGGTGATCGGGCCAGCAGGGGAACAGTTAGGTGTTAATCAGGTCAGCAGGGGATCAGTTAGGGGGGTGGTCAGGCTGGCAGGTGAGAAGAGGTTAGGGGCAATCAGGCAGGCAGGCAGGCAGGCAGGCAGGTAGGCAGGCAAGCAAGCAGTTAGGAGCCAGCAGTTCCGGATTGTAAGAGGGATGTCCAGAGAGATTGTGACAGGGATCGGGCCTAAATAGGCAGTCAGACATCCTCCAAGGGGTCCCAGATTGGAGAGGGTGCAGCCTGGGCAAAGGGACACCCCCCCCCACCCCCATGCACGAATTTTGTGCAAAGGGGCCTCTAGTGAACAAATAAACAGAAGAGAAGAGACAGATTAAACAGCAGGAACTGCCTGGATGAATAACCTTGAGATTTCTATACAAATTGGCGCAGGTATTTGAATCTGGAATATAACTGTTATTTATGATAATTGGACCAATGGTCAGAAAATTCATCAATTATTCCTCTGCTTCCACTCCTGGCTTGCAAGTTTCTAGCCACGAGTAGTAATCTAGACTAGGGATTAGATATTAAAGGATTTATGTAACCATGTATCTTATATCAGAATTCATCTCAACAGCTAACTAGATAGGTTTTATTTCTAAAAAACTGTTTTAATAACAAATATTCCTAAGAGAAAATTGCTTTACTGTCTTCTCATTATATATCAGACATCAGAATCTGTAATGAGGCCCCTTATTTGGAGATGAACAGCGTTAGATTCTCGGGTGTGTGTACACAAAGCCGCCCATGGATGCGAGGGGTAGGATAGTCAGCAACAAAAGATCAAATAAGGGTCTTGGGATGAGAGGAGGTTTATTCATCCAACTGCACACATATTGAACAGCCTGCATCATCATAAACTTTTATAGGGAAAGCTGTTTTTAATCTCATCAGTAACATGAGCCCAGCCTCCAAATCACAAAAGGAAGTTTCTCAAGTGAGTAGAAGCTTTCCACAGAGGCGGGAATGTTTATAGTGCGACACTGGCTGGGGGCAGGAGTGCTCAGCTGCACAAGGCAGTGTGGTAAGCTCCATGAGAAACCTACTGGCTTTGAGTTATGGGTGTTACTCGGCCATGGGATCTCCCAATTAAAGCCCAAGCCTTTGGGG